CTTAATTGTACACTTAATGATGCCGAGTCATTTTTATTTACATCAATGCATCTGTATGGTGCATTTTGAAAATATATCAATAATCCTAAAGCAAAAAAATAATAATGTAAATAATAAATTCCATGTAAAAAAAAATAATACGTAAAGAGTGTAAAAAAAAGTGGAAGAAAATAAATTCGCTAAGAAATTGTAAAGGAAAACTAAAAGCAAAAATATAAATCAAAATGCACCGACCTCCAAACCGGGCCTTGGTAGCCCATTACTTAGAGAATCGTATTTCGGTCCAGAGGACTCGGGGTTCGATCTTCGACTCCGCTAAGACTCATCGAATACATGCGATATGCATGCTAATGAAATCCGTGGAGTCGAAAGTCCTGTCATCGATCACTGAGCTGTACCATCCGTACAGGAATCTGGAGGAAACTTCCTTCCCCTTCAGATCCAAGTCTAAATTGTGGTAATGGTCTCACGAATGAGATTTTTTCTGCAGAGAATCAAAATTGTGATGGCATGTCTTCGGATCTTCCACATGGATGTTTCCCAGAACGTCGCTAATAGCTCATTGTGCAGCTCTAGTGTAACGTAAATAAAGTAAGACTACCACTACCAAAAGGTAAGGCACAAGTTGTTTGTGTCTAATTTAAATAAGAATAAGCGTTAAAACAAGGAAATTGAAGGTAATATGCTCAAAACAGTTCCTTATTATGGGTGACATTTAGATCAATTAAAACCAAAATATAACAAAAAAAAGCACACTTGGCAGAAAAATATAGATACATCACAGGGAAAATAAAACATCCCAGTTTCATTTCAAAAAATCTCATGGGAACATTGTCAAAATTGGATTTTTGTTTAAAAAAATTTCCCGTTTAATAAATTATGCAGTTAGGAGTTCTTGTAAAAAATTTTATTGCTCCCCTAACTGCAATGCATCGATTTTTCATACTGCCAGTTGAATTGTCGGGCATTGAAATGGGAGCGAAGACCAAGCAAGCATGTAGTAATCCTTGATTCAGCTAATAATATAAATGATGAGGGAAGTAATTCTTCCCTCCTCTGTCTAAGAAATATATTATTCTGGAAGAAAAATTCATAGGTCTCGAACCTAGACGAAATTTCAAAGTTCCTGATTATAATTATAACTTTAAATATTGCAATTATTTCATTATTGCAAAAATGTTAAACCAACATTCGGTAAAATAACAAAAATATTATATTGCTTCTAATAACAAGTTTTAAATTAGGAGTTCATAATTTCTCCAATTAGTGAAGTTAATGTTTAACACAAAAGATACTCCAATGGGTATGCAGCATGAGATTACCGCAAATTCAGATTATATTCAATGAAAATATCATTTTGATATGTAACATTGAGGCAAAAAGGGGGGAGGGGTCCTCTAAATACATATCAACGAAATAGTAAAGCTAGCTACCTATGAGGGATATATGTCGTTATAACAGTAAAACTCTGTTATAACGACAATTCATAAAAGCAACTGGAATTGTCGTTATAGTGAACTTGTTGGACCTTACCTTTTTAATCCGAATCATATCTCTTTGGCGGAAGTATCCCATTCATTTTATATATATGTTACTGTAAATGACCGAAATTGTAGCTTTGGTAAGTGTCCGAAATATATACTAGGTCTAGTTAATTGCCACTGACATTCATCAAAGCGACTATGTTCTTTCAAAGGTGAAAGTTGACATTCAGTCATTCACGGTAACATATATAGTTGTAATGAAGCAAATGTGATTTCGTTTTAAACTTGTGGTTGATCAACGCAGAAAATATTCTCTTCGTTTAATAGTTTAAAAGCACTTTTTACGCATTGGAGATATCTTACCCATGCTACCTTGAAAACTCTCTCTTAAGGTACGATGGCAAGATAGTTTACGTAGCTCTTACATAACACAGTGGGTAATTGGCGACAGTTTGGTGTAAACATCCCTAGGGATGATCCGGAGACAACATACATACGTCACATCCCGTTTTACAGGGAGGACACATTCTTACGCCATCCATTCATCGTAATTTTGACCTGAACCAGAGCACGGTCAATCTCTTATCCAATACTCTCAGAAGTATTGCTCAAATGGAAGGTGTTTTCAGAACAAATGTAAACAAAAAATCTCGAGCTTCTTGTTTTCACTACTTCCGGTTAGAAAGTTTACAGGTGCTTACTACAGCTTATTGCGCGAGGCGATATTTTGAAACGGATCATTTTATTTTCAACAAAAGAAGTAAATAGAATCATTTTTGAGCTCAAATCTGCTACATTTCATTAGATTTTAATGATTTTAAGTGATTCTGATGAGTTTGAAGTGAAAATCTGTTTAAGATACTTATAGATATATCGTTAAAAAAGGCGACATGGTAGCAATATTTAGAAAGAGCTCGCTTTTTGGCAATTCTAATTTGGCTTCTTTTAACCTCTTTTTTTAGATTTATTTTTGCTGCAAGCAGTACATCGTGAATACGTTAGTGTTAGTATTTAGTAGTAGACAACGTAGTAAGACAAAGTTTACTTTGCAAATTATCTTTAAGATTTAAATTTCGTAGTGGGAATATTGTTGACAAGGTAATAAGTGCCTTATAACGAATTTTATTCTAATGATAATTTTAAATCTGTAGTACATCTTTCTTTCTTTCTTTTATTTACATCGCACTCGAGCTATACAATGGATACGAGCTATACTATAGGTGACAATCTGGGAAACATTCCTAAGGACGTTCGGGACGCAACATACATATGTGGAGGCTGGTTGATACTCAGGGGACGTAAGTATGTGTAGCTCGTTCTTACGAATGAAAAGTGAGAGTACAAGTTCTTGATCGTAACCAATCCTGTTACGATTAGTTGTTGCTGTTGTTCATTTACGTCGCACTTGATCTGCACAATGGGCTACTGGCGACGGTCTGGGAAGCATCGCTGAGGATGATCCGAAGACATGCCATCACAATTTTGATCCTCTGCAGAGGGGATGTCACCCCCGCTTCGGTAGCCCGACGACCTGCGCGCGAAGTCGAGCACTTTACGGTAGCACAGTTTAACGAGGACCAATACCGCACACCCTCGGTCCCTACGCAGACTGATCCAAGTGGTCACCCACCCGCACACTGACCGCAGCCAGTGATGCTTGACTTCGGTGATCTGCTGGGAACCGTGTCTTAACGATCAGTCCACTGCGGGACCCTGTTACGATTAAGTTGAGTAGCAGCACACTCCCCTGCCAGTATTAGGGAACTGATGCGTATCGATCGGAGAAAGTAACACGACGGCCAGACCGAGTCCGTTGTTCGGGTTTCTTTAAATTGTTTGAAGACTCCTTTGGTAGATTCTGTTCTGTTGAGGGAGGACTTGGGATCTTGTTTGGTTGGGATGGAAATATTCCAAATGCTGGTTGGAGATGGTCAATAGAAATAGTCTGTTTTTTTTTCACTCACGAGGAGAGTGAAATGTTTTTCATTTCTCCGGATGACTTTAAATAGTTCGTTATAAGGAGGTTGTAAGAGTTATTTAACTGAGTCCCTACGAACGAATACGTGAGAACAAGTTTTTAATTCAGGATACGAAGATTATCATGGTGTGATGTAAGTCGGGATAATGTTTCGACTAATCCTTGTGGAGGGTCATCAGTTGGAGTTGGAATGAAGAAATCACCTGATAAGTGTAAAGTTTCATCATGGACTAGTTCAACTGGGGTTGCACCGATGCTCTATTTAGCTGCGGAACGCAAACCAAGGAGAACCACTGGTATATTCAGCGATCTGTCCAGTCTGTTGTCGCATGTCACTTCAAAGCAGCTTTGAGCTGCCGATGAAAATTTTCTATCAAGCCATTGCTTTATGGGTGAAAGCTTTCCGTTTGGCAACACTCGATTCCAAGCAGCTTCATCCGATCATGGATCAATGATGATTCGAAATTTGTCCCTCTATCGGTTGTGATGTAGGTTGATATGCTAAAACGGGCAATCCAACCCGAGGAAAATGCTGGTGCGATTGTGGTTACTGACATGTCTGATACAGGGAAAATTTCTGGCCAGAGTGCATAACGATCTATGCACGTTGAGACATTTAATGTGAGACCGTGATTTCGGAGTCTTTTCAAAACTTCAGTAGGATGCTGAATATGCTCTGGTTCTGAATTGTTAAAGGCTAAAATATCATCTAAGTGCCAATAGCAGAAAGGTAGATCTAGAAATATTTTATCCATAAAACGCTGAAATGTCTGGGCAGCATTATAGAGTTCAAAATTTAGAAAAGGAAGCTCCAAATAAGCCGAAATTGGTGGCTATTGCGGTTTTAGGAATATCAGCCTCATTAACTGGGATATGATAGTATGCTGGAACGATATCTACTTTTTAAAATATTGATTTCCATAGAGAGCATGTGCAAAATCATGCAAATATGTAGTGCCAAATGTATCCGGGAAATTTTTTGTAATTTAAGATTCGATACTCTCCAACTGGTCTTACATTAGAATTTTTAATAACAACATGAAGACCAGAGGGAAGACCAGAGACTTTTTGAAGGACGACAAATACCTTTTTCATACATAGTTGAAAATTCACTCTTAACTGCTTCTAAAAATTGGGGAAGTAAGCTACGTGGCTTTCAATGTAATGGTGAACCTGTCGTTTTGATGTGGCGAACTGTGGAATGTTTAATAGATTTTCTTTCTTGTGATTGGCTAGTAATCTTCGAGAATTCTGTAATAAATTTTGAAAATGCATACTATTAGGTATAGTTTTAACTGAGCACTGAGAAGAATTAACAAAATATCAGCCTGACTTTGAAGAAGTGTTCGAATCAATAAGATGTTTATTTTTCAGATCAACAAGTAATACATAATGCATTAAAAAAATCTGCTCCAATAATTGGCGAGCTGGCTAAATGAATGACGGAAATAAAATTGATAATTTTAAATGTTTTGTTCCGTAAGTTTTAATGGGTGAATTATTCGCGTCATAAGTGTCAAATGGACGAGTGAACGATCAATATTTTACTCGTTTACAAAATTACACATAATATTGCTAGGTGGCGTTTAATTCTTTATTTTTCCAGGAACCCACCGTAGCCTTATGCAAAGACTCTTTTTTCAATCGGGCTTTTTAGCGCCAAAGGATACAAGCGCATTGAAAATCTTCTTGTCCTTCCGAACATCGCTCGAAATTCGGTCTGTTGTCGGTGTGTAGTTCTGTTTTCCACTGAGAAAGTGGTCAGTGAGGTTGCAGATATTTCGTTGTTTATTTTGTTATACGTATAATTATTATTTGCAGTCTTATTTATGACTCTAAAATAGTTATTCAAGTTGTAAGGAATTATTTTTAACTAAAAAATTGGAAGACTGTTGCAAGATGATTTCTGCAAATATAGATTTCGATGGTGAAACTACAAGTAGTTCTAACCCAAAAGAAAGCTTTCAAAATAAGGAAGCATCATTTTTACAAAATCTTGTCCACAGTAAACCTATGAAGAAAAGCAATTCTCTTCACAAAATAAAAGCAGAAAACAATTTCACCAAAGTTCTTGTTCTCTATACTGGTGGAACTATTGGAATGATGCGTACTGAAGAAAACGGTAAAATAAGTGATATTTGTTTTTTTTTTTTTTTTTCAATTTTTGTAAATGAAGCTCTAACTATTTGCGAGCTTTTAATCGATTATTTATACAGCTTATATAAGTATATCGTAATTAAAATTAAGGAATTGCTTCAATTAAAGCAATATTTTTCGAAAAAAAATTGTGATTGCGTCATCCTTGAAAAGTTAATTTGCACTTAATATTGAGCATTTCTACGTTTATTTTAATAAGATCAATAGTTGTATGAAGTAAATAAGTTTTCAATGGCTTCATCCCTTTCCTTTCCTTTACTTTTTTTTTTTAAATAAAAGATGATAATGTAATATGTATTATTTGTTTAAAAATGCATCATCAATTAAAAACGTAAACTTGCAATAATTTAAATGCAAATGCGTTTTATAACTGCAGATAATAACTTTCTATGAAGGCTTTCTGAAAACTGTAGCTAAATTAATTTGATTGATAAAGGTATTAGTCTTTAAAAACTTGTAAAACACTGTTGTGAAATAGATTTTTCAGTGATAAGTTTAGGATGAAAGTGAAGTTTCTCCAAAATATTCATGTGCTAATTGTCATTTAGGTGTACTCTGTGTAAAATAACTTTTCTATGAAAAGTGTGCAATGAAAGTAAAATTTATCCAAAACATTCGAGTATAATTGCAGTGATCTAAGTACATGCATACTGATTATTGTATCAAAATTGATTTGGTATTTTACTGAGACAATCAAGTTTTTTGCAACTCTGTATGGTAAAAGAAAGTTTGTAAGTGAATTATTTTGCTTAGATATTTATATTTAAACAATACAATTATATCAGATATTGTGTGTAAAATCCTGCCAAGTCCACAATTTATAGTTTTAAGGGAATCTTGATTATCATCCATTAATCCATGTAAGAATCCAAGCAGTTAAGAGTTTTTTTCTTAATAGATGAAATTGTTACATTTAAAAGAAAGTAAATTTTTTTTTTTTAGTTGTCGCTTAAACCAGATTTTTTAGGCTATTTAGCCCAGAATGTGATATACTATTTTAAGCCCAAATCAAAGGTGACTTAATCATTAAAAGGTATTTCTTGTAAAAGAGTGGTGTTTTTATTGCTTGTCAGTTTATACGAAAATATCATATTTATGCATTGTTTACATTAATGTTTTGCATTAACATTATATAATTTTTTGTATGAGAGTCAATTGTATTTTATAAAACATAAATTTTTTTTATCAACTGAATCAATTTAAATTTTAAGATAAAGAACAGGAAATGCTCATTTTATATTTAATGTTTCCTTTATGTTGAAATTTAATTAGCTAGTTGACAATTTAGCATGAAAAGAAAAAAAATGCTGATGTTTGTTTCTATTAGGGTTGCTCTTAAGTTAAATCTAGCTAGTTAACAATTTAGCTTAAAAGAACCACTGATGTTTGTTTCTAATATTCTTGCTTTTATATTAAAACCAACTAATTAACAATTTAGCAGTATTAAATAAGACTATATTCCAGTTGATGATTTGGTGACGCAATATAGGAGGTCTTCACATTAAGTATGTAAATAGCATTTTCTGGCTATGAAGATAAGAAATCCAGAATTTTTCTATACCTGTATGTTATTATCATCCTATCCTAAATTATAATTATATGTATTTGAAAAATATCATAAATATTTTCCTGTTAAGTAGCTTTCAGTTTTTTTTTTTAACAGTTTATGTTCCTGAACCATGTGTTATGGGCCAAAAAGTTAAAACATATCCTCAACTTAATGATTTGAATGGGGCTACTGAATATCACATTCAGTATCCCGAAGAAGATGTATTAGTTCTTCCGTGAGTATCTATCTAATAAATAATTTTAATCTTATGTTTTTTAACAATCTAAAGCTCAAAATAATTGTTTTAATTTGAATTTTTCATTCTTTAATTTTAAGAGCCTTATATTTTGGAGATCTAAAATTTCACCTTTATCAAGAACTTTTATTACAAAAAAGGCATTTGTTAATTTCTTGATAACTTGTTTAAAATAGAATTATTGTTATTTGCATGAAAATAAGGCTTTAAAATTCATTATTTTCCAGAAAAATACTTTAAATTCTGAAGTAAAATTTTATAAATAAGCAATTAAAAATAGTTTAATAGTGTGTTCTAGACGCACAAATTCCAATAAATTTCTGTAAATTTTTCTAAAATCATTTAAAAAATAGCGTTATTAAAAAAACATTTTGAATTTATAAACTATCCAAAATTGAGGATACTGAGATATTTTTAATTAAATATTTGTTACTTGACTTATTTTCCAAGTTCTGTTACAAAATATCAAGTTACAATTGTTTGGATATAAAAGACTTTCTTTCACACTTTTTTGAATTTGAATTTTTTTTTATTTTATTATTATTTTTATTTTATTTTACTGAGTTTTTGCATAACATATTTAACTTGATGTGTAAATAACTAATTAGGGACTCCATATGAAAGAATATTAGTTTGCCAATTTCTAACTCATCAGCATTTAAAATTGATTATAAAAGTAATTCATCCAAAGAAAATTTTCATAAATCTTAAGCAAGAAAAAATTTGTTAATTTTAGCTGACGATAGAGAAAATGAAAAAAAAAAATTCTTTACATTATGCATGCTTATTTAAACAGCTTCTCTAACAAGCTTTTACCTGTTTGAAAATGTTTTTCATTATCTTCTCTATTTATACACAGACTAGTTTTTACCGTTCTCAGATTGTTATTTATTAAAGGATTTATCAATATTTAAATTAGATTTTCATTCTAGAAATATTTAAGAATCTTGCAAATTTTATAATTTTTAAAATTACGAAATAAAATTAAACCTATTGTCAAAGATACAGTAGGGAACCGATTATCCGGAACAATCGGGACCATCGCTATTCCGGATAACTGATTTTTCTGGTTTTCTGAATCGCTACAAAAAGCTGTTTTTTTTATTGTTAAACCCAACTAAAAAAAAAAAAAAATTTTGGAAATAATCTTAAAAAGAAGAAAAAACGATGAAGTAATACAGTAATGATTATTTCTAAAGTGATGGTATGGTAAACATATTTCAAAAAAGAAAGAAAAATCCTAAAATCTTATGAGTAAAAAATTTTTTTTAAAAAAAAATGGTGGGAAAATTCATTGAATTTATTTCCGGTTTTTTGGTTTCCTGGTTTTCTGATTTCCGGATAACGGGTTCTGTACTGTACTTTCATTTTGAATAGAATTTAAAAAGATAAGTTTTGTTGAAATTGTCTTGAAATTGCTTAAGTATTTCTTTGGACCATTAAAAGGAAAGACAAATTGGAATTTTCTCTGCTATTTTTATAGTTTTTTCTTTTACAAAATTTTAATTGAAGCATTACATTGTTGATTCTGTTATTTTTTCCTCTTTTTTTTTTCTAAATGTGTTAAAGTAACAATTTTTTTTTTCATTTATAAATTTACCCACTGCTAACTTTGTTAGTAAATAAAGTTTATTTTATTTATTCACAAAAAGGGATACTGGTGAGTCTTCCAGAGTTGTTTATACAGTCCAAGAATATAATCCTTTATTAGATTCTTCAAATATGACTATGGATGATTGGATTAGAATAGCAATGGATATTAAGGTATAGATTATATCCATTTTTTTCTTATTTTAAGTTTTGACAACAATTTTATTTGAACAATATTTTGCTTGGCAGTAAATATATTTCAAAAATCAAGAGACAATTTTTTAGTATTAAAGAAGTAAAAAACTCTTACTGACTAACTGAGTCTTATATTTTGAATATGATTAAATGTGTACTTAAAACTTTTAAACATATAGTAGGGGTGCACAACCTTTTTGAGTGAAGGGCCACATGCGCAGCAGATTGACGCGCAGCAGATTGACTAATGAAGGGCCGCATGTCAAAGGGAACACCCAAAGTATTTTAGACAAACATATTCATAGCAATTTTAGATAGTAATTGTTATAAAAACATTGTTCTAACCACTAAATTCTTTTTCTAAGTTAACCTTGTAATATCTTAGCATAAAATTAAATACTTTTAAATGTTTAAAGTTAAAAACTTCTAAACTAAGAAAAAACTGAGCCTTCTAAGAAAAAACAGAATCAGTTAATCAGAAGAAAATTTAGATAAATTGAAATAATTAAAAAACTATGGGAAAATACATGTTTTTTAAAAGTCATATTACATAATACATAAGTCCATTTTAACATAAATTTTAACTTTAAAAAATTTGTTCATAGAAATAAATTTTAAAAAAATGTTCTAGTTATTAAAATAAATACAAGTTAAATACTTTGATTTAAAGAAAGTTTATAGGGTTAAAAATGATAAAAATTGAAACAAAACCCCATCTGCGGAAAATAAGATTTAGCATTTAGAAGGGGAATATACTTAAACTTTAAAACATTTATTTTAAATTAATGATAGGAAGCAGGGGCAGAGAGAGGGAAGAAAGAAAGAAAGCATTAATCTTGAATAAACTATTTTCCTTAATAATAAAAAACTATTAAGATACTTGTTTAAAATTTTTTATGGCGAATATTTTTTTAACATGACACTTTCTATTTACAATTAATACACATATGCATAAACAATTAGTAACATTTACATTACTTAACGAAACTTATTTTGATTATATTTTTTACTGTTAAAATTTAATGATATACAAATCATTTCCCAGCGTACAATCATGAATGATATGAAATGGTGGAAGTATAGCATAAGAAAATGGTTAAAAAATTTTCTTAATGGTTATCCTGTAATTTGCAAAATTTTTAAATATTGGGATAATTTTATTCACTTGATCATGTGATTCACTTGATCATGCTTTTTCGAGCCATTAAATGAATTTGTTAAAAGACTGCTCTGTAATTTTGAACAGGCCAAATTTATTCTGGAAAACAGTCTTATGACAGAAGCTGTTGTTGTGGGTAGTATTAAATTAGGGCAAAAAACTTAATCACTTTTGGAATTTGTCCTAGATGGTGTTCTTCATTTCCATATTTTTAAATCACGTGAATACAAATAGCGATGTGTTATTTTATAATTGCCTAAATACTAATTGTTATGTGTGCTTTTTAAATTGCGCAAATATAAAACGCAATGTGTGATTTTCAAATTGCGTGAATACGAATTGAGATGTACAATTTTAAATTGCGAAAAGACTACTCACAGCGCATGATTTTTAAAATGTGTGAATATGAATCGCGATATATGGTTTTTAAATCGCGTGAATATGAATCGCGATGGATGATTTTTAAATCTCGTTATTTTTAATACGAAATGCGCTGCGCAATTTTAAGATCGCGTAAATACGAATTACGATGTGTGAATTTTAAATTACGCGAAGAATTAAAACGTATGATTTTTAAAACGTATAAATACGAATCTCGACATGTGATTTTTAAATCATGTAACAACAAAAAGAATAGGTTGAGTGTGTGATGTTAACTTGCACTTGTTCATGGGACTAAAGAAATATACACGTGTTTTGAATTATTTTTTAGCAAAGGGGAACGCGTTTAATATAAATGTACACAACTTGTTTTTATTTTTCATTTTTATTCTTTTTAGGAAGGTATCGATTTTGCTAAAATACGTAATTACTTTTTAAGTTCCAAAAAAAAATTAAAACAGTATCGAATTTTAAGAGTTGTAATATTGTGCTAAAATATCAGGATATTCTAAATTACAAGTAAAAAGACGTTCGAAAAACCTCTTATATTTATGTAAAAATCGACACAAATACAGCACATAAAAAGTAATTATTTTAATGCGCGATTCAAAACTCGCGTGCTGTCAAATTATATGAAAAATATAAATTTTTTTTAAATCACGGGTAAAAAGCGTAGTAATTACTACAAAGGAAATTATCAAAATACCTTTATATTTGCGGTGAAATTGGTGTAAATAAAACGCGTCAAAATTTTATGTATTTAAATGCGAAATTAAAGTATCAAAATAGCGTATAAAAAATATCGGACTTTCAAAACCTTGTAGAGATGTGTAACAATAATTGCCAAAATAACGATTGAAAAATAATTTGATTTGCAATAAAATTGGCACAAATAAACCACGTCAAAAAATGGTTATCTAAATGAGCGATTATTTAATCGCGATTCGTAATAATATCGTGCCAAAATATCAAAATTTTAAAAACCATGCGGAAATGCGTAGCAACAACTGCCGAAAAAGATTAGATTTTTCATGAAGTTTGCACAAATAAAGCGTTTCATAACTTTTTAAAAATCGCGATTTCAGAAAATACGTGAAAATGGGCAGCAATAACTACCGGAAAGTCATTGAATTTACGATAAAATCGGAGCACTCGAAGAGAGTCAAAAGTAATAACTAAAATTAGAAATTCGTATATCGTAATAATGATGTGTTCAAAATAATGGTATTTTCAAAACTATGCCTAAATCTGTAGAGGTAACCATCGAAAAAAAGCGATCGAAAACTACATTGAGTGAAATTGGGTGCGTCAAAAACTTAAATGCGTAAATTTCAAATTTCCGAATTTTTTTTTATTTAAAAAAAAAATGTTTATTTTTATTTTGTTCAGATTGCGGTAGCGGGCCGCACATTGAGTGTTGGCGGGCTGCATTTGGCCCGCGGGCCGCAGGTTGTGCACCCCTAACATATAGGATTTTTTGGGAAATTAAAGAAACTAGAATATGTGAGTAACTTGCTGTAAAAGCTGGTAATCAATGCTAGAGTAGTGATTACTTAAAAAAGACGGAGTGTTGTTGATTTATCTGTAAAATTTCTATTGTTACGGAGCAAAACCTAATATTCAAAATAATGGAGAGCGTAAAAAATAGGACAAGTTTTGTGTGATTTGCATCTTACCCCTTTAATTTTGAAAAGGTATCTAAAGTGATTCTGTTAGTTTAAATTTCTGGGTCTTATTTCTAATAATCCAATGGACCAATAATTTGAATCCTTTTTTAAATTCGTTTTTTAAAGATATGCCCGAAAAGTTATTATTTTATGATTAGAATAAAAATGCAAGTGAATTGGACAAAGAATCATTTGTGAAGGCTAGAAATTTTTTTTATGTGGGGGGTTAAAATTTACTATTAAAACCGGTTAGAAATTGTTCCATACGTGATATTTTACATTGAATCGAATGAGACCAAAATTAAGTTGATGAGAAGTTTGGAAGTTACTAAGTATAAAACAGTAAGTTTTAAGGTATAAAGAAGTACAATTTTTGATTATACTGTTTTTATTGTACCAATTTTAGATATACTAGCTTTCTCCTAATTATTTCTGTATTCTACTATTTAGGAACCAACCCACACATAGTAGGTAAACTAAACAACTGAATTAAATTTAAGACATTCTAAATTTTCAGAATACATAAAATTCTGTCTAGAATAATTCCTAATATTCCTAAATATTTCTGTATTCTACTATTTAGGAACCAACCTATTGGATAAACTAAACAACTGAATTAAATTTAAGACATTCTAAATTTTCAGAATACGCAAAATTCTGTCTAAAATAATTTCTAATAGCCCTAAATATTTCTGTATTCTAATATTTAGGAACCAACCTATACAGTGGATAAACTGAACAAATGAATTAAATGTAAGACATTCTAAATTTTCAGAATTCACAAAATTCTGCCTAAAATAAAATGAACTCTTATTTCAAACAATGATTTAGGAATTAAAACAATATGCAGAGAAGAAGGGAAATAGGGGTCTCTGAGATGAACAAAGACAAAATGATCTATGTTATTGAGCAGATGATAAATTCTCTACTTCTTTATCCGTATGCTAATATGCATAATTATATTTTTTTTTTAATCTTTTAAAAGACAAATCAAATCATGAGAGTTATATTTTGGCTATTCAGGCTTTTAATTACAACTTATCGAACAGTGGCACCAAGGGAAATCCGTTGTGTTATTTGATACCTTTTCTCTGAAATTAATATCAAAAAAGAAAAAGTTTTTTTTTTTAATTTGTCTACCAGGCCAAATATAAATTTACTGCACTAATTCTTATTTTTCTTTTTCATATAACTAAGTATGGAAATGTATGCATCCCTAGATACATATCATATATTCTTTTACGTCCTGATTTATAATTTTTGGCATATTTTACATGCTATAGCATGTAAGCGGAATCACTGTATCTGTCTGGAAATAAAGATACTTTATTCCCAGATAAAATAATGCTGTTTTTTTTCTAAAAATATAAAACAATTATAAGCATTTTCAACACATTCTCAAGGTATTTCTAAAGCTTATTGATTTAACGAGAAAATTTTTTTACGAACTCATATTTTTCTCTTGATTCATCCTGTGATTTTTTGAAGAGCAGTTTTTATTAATTATGGTGCATCTGTCTTTTTATAAGATACTAATATTGTTTCACTTATATTATAGACTTTACTATTTATTGCTATCATTTTTTTTTTTTTTAAATTATCTCTAGTGGATGCTTGGTATTTAATGCTTATTCAGCTTTAGATTAATGGTGACTAACTTGTTGAGGAGGTAAATGCAGGTAATGCACAATGTTTACCTCATTTCTACCATTTTTGTTGTTAGTCTTAAGAATTCTGAAGCCGTTACCTCCATCGCCTAATCCACAACTGGCTGAGGGATTATTTTTCTTCTATCAACGAAAAATTTTCCTATAATTCTATATGCTATATATTAATTTCTTTGGAATTTTATTTTATTAAAATGATGTTAGTTTTGGTTTTAAAAATTTTATTGATCCTTTTCATTTTCCTTAAATTAGGAAGCATATGAGGCTTTTAGTGGATTTGTTGTTTTACATGGAACAGACACAATGGCATATACTGCTTCTGCATTGTCATTTATGTTAGAAAATTTAGGAAAGACAGTAGTTATTACTGGCTCCCAGGTAAAATAAATAAATAAATAAAATGTAAGTTTGTAGTTGTGGTAAAATTGCTATAAATGTTAAATGTCTTCAAGTTTAGAAAATTTGTTTAGGAATTTTTCTAAGCTAATATGTTGTGTATTACAATTTTTCTGAATTTGTAAAATAGCATTAAAAGATTACCTAAATTCTTTTGTAAATTAACTGTATGGGGAAATAATTAAGGGTTTTCATAGCGAATAGGTTTGTAGGTACATGTAACAAAATAAATTTTAAAATATCGAAATACAGTAGAGAACCATTTATCCGGTATCCAGATAACCGGGAAACCAGAAAACCGGGAAAAATTTTGATTGGTTTTCCCGCCATTTTAAACTAGAACGATTATGAAAAAAGCGAAAATTGTACTCATCCTTGAAGTTGAGTAGAGGAAAATGTAAGGAAGGGGAGAATTTTTCCCCCCGTTTACCCAGAGAAACGTCATTTCCTTTGTGACCTTGAAGGCAGGGAAGGGAGGAATGTTTTATTTTCTCCTTTAGGCCATCAATCAAGCTCAAGGGTGTGGCATGCTGATTTCGTTTTCTGTTAGATTTACGAGGGGGGTGGGGAAAATGCATTGCATGCATATCAGTGAACAGAAGATGAAAGAGAAAAATATATTTATCTATATGACATCGATTAATAAAAATAAAATCTTTTTCTTCTGAATAAATTCTCATTCTTTGGAAGTGCGGTATCATTTGCAAGTTTTTATTGATGTGGAATCACATCTGCTGTAATTAAATATCGTGTTTTTATCAACAAAAAAAAAAAAAAAAATTGTTTATTAATTTAAACATAGGATTATTTTATGAAGCAGATTGCAGTTTTGTTTTTCTGATTCCACTACGTTTGATTTTTTTTTCTTTTCACGATAAATTTCGCACTCAATAAATTAATTCTTTTTATTCATAAATTTTATCATTAGGTTTTTTTTTTAAAATTCCGTCGATCTTGTCTTGTTTCGGGTTTTAATATTTATGCTAGTGCCTTTTTTAACTTTCGGTTCGATAATTTTCAAGAGTTTTTATTTAGATTAATAAGTTTTCCTTTTATTTTATCGTTTCCCCCATATAATTAGGTATAAAATACATTGCATTATTTAACCATTGGTTTTGTTTATATTAGTTAATTTAGGAATTGTAATTATTTTTAAAAATAAATACGGGAATTTTGTATTTTTTAAACTTGTTTTTCTTGTCTAAACTTGCAAATTTTTTTATTCTTTTAAATGTTATTTTTCTACCATTTCTTTTTTCTTTTTAAAGTTAGGAGTACCTTTCTTTTTTCTTTTACTTTATGCATTACACTTTCTCTTTGTAATTCGGGTTCGATATTGATTCGGGTTCGACATCGATTAACGACACTTTTTGGTCGATCCAGAAAACCGGGAAATTCAGGCATCCGGGATAGCGATAGTCCCGAGCATCCCGGATAATTGGATCTCTACTGTAATTATAATGTATTTTCAAATAGTGTATATATCTTCTAGTGAAAAGATGTGTTCTATTACTATGTGAGAAGAAATATTTGTGACTGATTTAAGAAATTATTTATTATAAATTCCTGGGATACATCTCTAACAAAACATATTTGTTTATTTTTTAAACTTATGAATGTAACATTAAATTTATTTAACAAATAGTAATTTATTTTAGCAATTAATGTGCTTTCTTTAGATGTGTATGATAAATAGAATTTTAAAATTAAAAAATGCAGTTTTATTTATCATTATTTTGATTTATACCATGTAAGAAACGCATAAATAATGTAGTATATGCATAACATGATATAAGAAATGATAGAAAAGAACAACAACTAATCCCCCTCTATAAGTTGTTCGCCTGTCTAGATTAACTGCTAAACCAATGCACCTCAAGTGGTCAGACTAAACAGGTTTTACTATAATTTCTTATGATTTTTACATGATTTTTGTTTAGTTTTATATTTTTTTGTAATTTATTTTAGCAATTAATGTGCTTTCTTTAGATGTGTATGATAAATAGAATTTTAAAATTAAAAAATGCAATTTTATTTATCATTATTTTGATTTATACCATATAAGAAACGCATAAATAATGTAGTATATGCATAACATGATATAAGAAATGATAGAAAAGAACAGCAACTAATTCCCCTCTATAAGTTGTTCGCCTGTCTAGATTAACTGCTAAACCAATGCACCTCAAGTGATCAGACTAAACAGGTTTTACTATAATTTATTTTGATTTTTACATGGTTTTTGTTTAGTTTTATATGATTATAAACATATTTTAGTACTCATAAATGATGTTGCTCACAAATTTTTAGATACCTCTCTATGAAGCTAGAAGTGATGGTCGTGATAATCTTATGAATGCACTTATCATTGCTGGAAATTATTGTATTCCTGAGGTAACTAATTGCAATATAGTTTTCAAGAATTATTATATTCCAATTATACAGAATATTGCAGATAGTTAAAATAATATGTATAATATTTTTAACAGTATTTAATGCATCTCTAATTTCTCCTCATATCTAATTTCTCCTCAAAAACATGCCCATTTTTTAAATTGAATTGTGTAGTTTTATTTCTGCTTTGAGGACCAAATGATAAGACTCGTTGCTCTCTCTTAGGATCTTCCAGCCAAAGAATATTTTGTGATCAATAGTGTATGAGGAATGAATTGTGTATATTTTGTTTTGAAATTTGTTAATTTGAAACATAAATTTTTATCTAAATTCAACAGGCAAGTGATAATTGTATATAATGTTTGGTCTTAGTATGGGAATTCATAAAAATTCCTTTGTTGTATTTTACAAACAAGCAACGATGCGGCAAGCTTATATTTTGGGAGGATGGAAATTTCCATTTAGCCAAACCAAGTTTATAATTTGACCAAATAATAACTTTGCACCTAGAAATATTCTTACATATTGCATTAAAGGAACATCAAGGGTAACTCTTAAATATTTTCTAGCAGATTAAGATACAAGTAAGTATTAGTTATAAATAATGTAGTTGTCACCTTTTCCTATTTTCCAGTGAAATTTTACTTTTATGTTTTTGTAACCAAAACTTATACTGCAATGTTTTTCTCTGTGTTTCATAAATATGATATAAAATGATCTTGCTTACCATTATACCTACCGTATTTTTCGGCGAAAGCGCCGTTTCGTCACAAGCGCTGCTTCGTCACAAGCGCCGCACCTCGATAAAAATGAATTTTTAAAAAGAAAAGTTATAGTAAGCGCCGCAATGGCGCTGAACCGCGTATATCAGCATCCTTTCAGAAGAGACCTTTAAATTAACATTTAGAATATCTGTATAATAAAAAATTACACTTTTTTATGCATTTCATAAAATAAAGTTTTAATTTCTAAATTATAATAAAAAATTTCTTTTTTCAGCAAAAAAAAAGCAACAAAAAAAGTTTTCTCTTTCAGCAAAGGAAAAAAAGAAAACAACAAAACTATATAAAATAAAGTTGTTCTTACTAGTTGGCACCGCGCCAAAAAACAGAAGAACAGCAAAAAGAATATTTATTTGTTCAGTAGCTGAATTAAGGCTGAACTGATTACAGGAATCCGTAAAACAATGCAATAAGAAAAATAAAATAAAAATTTATTAAAAGAAAGATTTTAAAATAAAAAGATTTTAAAATTTATTACCGTTAACAATTTGAGGAAAAACTAATACATAATAACGAAACAGCTAATAATAACGAAATAACTAATAATAACAAGAATAAGAAATAACTAAACAGGCCCCAAAAAAATTCTGAAGAAATTAGCGAACGGGAAATAAGTTTCACTTTCACAATCTTTGAGGGTGGAATTTTAGTGGGTAGAATGCCCTCTCCTTCAATGGAAATAACCCAATGTGACTCAATATTTAAAAGGGGTTGGGGAAAAGAACAGGGTATGGGACCCCTAATCCAGCATTCCAAAATTTGGCACTTAATCTGATCTAATCTTTTTTTTTTAATTTTTTTTTTTAAGAAATTTATATTGATAAGACAAAAAAAATCAGCTATATTCTTTTTATTTGGAATTTTATTCTGTTGAAGTAACTTACTTTATTTTATCTTTTAAAAATAAAAAAGCTTGAAAAAAAAATTATAAATCTGTGTCAAAAGAAACATCTGTTTCTTAAGCAGTTTAAAATAAAGTGAGAAGTAAAAACACTTGCATTTCCAATGAACAAAATAAAGAAATGGAAGTTGGAAAAAACTGATCAATCAATCTTGACAGCTGTGCTTGTGCTTTACCCCCAAATTTCCCTCTTCTGTTTGACCATAAATTGGCCACACCCAGTTGACATTGAAACTACCACGTGGACAACAAAATGAATTCTATCCCTTTTGCGGTTTTTTATTCGATTCATAAATTTTTTTTTATTTTGCCGCTTTTTATTTTTTCTTGTTAATTGTTGCTTGCTTGTTTTTTTTTTTTCGTTATTAGTTTTTAGCTTGTTTTTTGTTGTTATTCATTGTTAGTTTCTTAGCATTAATTGTTAAAAAAAAATTTTTTTTTTTTGTAGTTCCCTGTTAGCTTTTTTTTTTCTTCTTGCGAGGTAAGCGTCTTTTGTTAAAACAAAATGTTATCTAAAAGAAAAAACGAGAACTATGATCTCGCTCCAAAGAAGAAACGATTATTTCTTCTTCATAGGATTCTGATTATTTCTTCTTGATTATATTATATAGATTATTATTTTGATTAGTAAAATTTCTCTTAAGATGGGCCAGTTTTAAATTCACCCCATCATAATCTACGATCGAAACTTGACTAAATTTATTGGTTTTTCTGAAATTAACAGTGGAATTGAATTATAGTAATATTTGGGGGCCATATTGGAATTTCCGAAAGAGATCCGAAGTTCGGCATTTCGTCAGTCCCGTGAGTGTCGGATTTAGGGTCCTATTCTTCCTTTTCTGTTCGCTCAAATTACAATTGCCAAGGCGCTAAATAGATTTCTAGCTTGCGATTTTTCCTTAAGCTGGGGGTGGATATAAGATGCATACCTTTTAAATTTTTTCCTTATACGATGTTTTTTTTAAAATTATTATTTCGTTTATTTATTTTCTTACAGGCTGCTGCCGAAAGTTTGCTAAGAATTGGCGATGTTCTGCAGCAGATCGCAATACGGACGAATATTTCGTCGACTTAGTTATTAATTTTTTTTAATAGTCTTTTCTCTCAGAAAATTATTTCATCTTAAATAACTTTCCTTGACAAATTTTTTTGCTACAAAAAAATATTTCGTCGGAAGTGCCGCATGTAGGAAAAAAACAACATTTTTTTCGATAGTGACGCGGCTCTTCCGCCGAAAAATACGGTAATTAATTTAAACATACATATAAACTATCTGATAATCAGTGATTAATCTTAAGTTCTAAAGAAATTTCTGCTTACAGTGATTGCAATTTTTAGTTCATTAGCAGAATACCAGAAAAAAACTTTAGGAAAAGTTTGGCAGTTTAGAAATGAAGTATGATTTTTGTAGCATAATATCAACAAACACACATATTTTTTAAAATCTAATCTAAGGGTCTTCAACCTTTTGCACCTGAGGACCACAGCAATAATTTGGAAAATTGTAGAGCCAGACCTGTAGTAGATAATTGTAAAAAAATTCAATAGCAGAAGAAAAATAGCAATTAGTTTTAGTATTATAAGGACTGAATTTTTAATTTTCTTAGAAATTTTTAAAGTTTAAGTTAAATATCACTCTTAGATCAAATTAAACTAATTGTTTCAACTATACAACAATTTGAAAAAGATTGTGTTTGCGAATTTTTTTGATGGATAATACAAAAAAACTAATATTACGAGCTAATTTCTATCTTTCTATTTCGGAGGAAACTGGCTTGTTTAGATTCGAAAATGGGAACTCCAAAACGAGTGATTGACAAACAGGCGTTTTAATGGCAAGGAAGGGATTAAATTTGTTGAAGACAAAATTGTAAATTAGGTATCTAAAACTATACTTATGCATACTTTTTTTCATCGCTATTTAAAAAGTGAAATGTGTTAATACTCACTAATTTTAATTGTGTTTACTAAAAAAGTAAATATTGCATTTCGCACTGTTCATTTAGTTTTTTTCTGATCATTAAATAAATGGCTTGCTATCAAATACATTTAAAACTATTAGTAAGCTACCCTGGAAAGGTACAAAAAGCAACAAAAATCATAACTTTTAAATTCCTTTATTAAATCATAGGCAGCCAGTTTCACCCACTGTTAAAGTTTAGTTGTTGCATGTAATTGGTTGGTGCTATGTAAGTTATGCACTAAAAAAAGTATTGTCTACTAAGTGCAGCTGAGGACTTTTTTTATCATGACTAAGACAGTTTGTGGGGTTCAATACTAATATTGTTGGTGGTAGTGTAGTTTCTTTTAATGACAAAAAGGGTTTTTGCTGGTTCATTACTCTCTGAAATGCAATAGTTTGCAAATTATTTGCAATGCATGCACAATGAACCTGAAAAAAAAATCTCTATTGATTTGTGATAGATCATTTCACATGATCACACATTATTGGAAAAGGAGAAGAAAAAAAAGTGTAGTTGAAACCAGGAATGAGATTTTTCTGCTTTTTAGCGGATTTCCGCTTTTGTCTCTCAAATTTCAGCTTTTTTATCAAAAACTCCGATTTTTTTATTTTTTATAAATATTTCACTGTTTCTGAAAATTCAGTTGTTGAAATAAAATTATTATATTTATTGTCGATTTTCAAATATAAACAGAAAATTCAGTCTAGGTAGCTGCCAACTCTTACTCATTTTGACTTATTTTAGCTATTTTCTTCGCTTATACACGCAGAAAATAAATTTTCTGTAATTTTGCCCTCCCTCCAGGTAGCTCATATTTTCGTAACTCAGGCATCGCTGCTTCGTGTTTGCCGCCGCGAAAGCAAACGAAATAATAATAATTAAAAAAATAGCGGTGGATTTGCGGTAAAAATATTTATTTGCTGATTCTATTTATCTTTTACATTTTTGTTTATTATGGCTAAACAAAAACCATACAAACAAGCTATATAGAAATCTCTAACCCAGAATTTGCTAATATCTTGATTCTTATTCACGAGATTTTAATATCAAACATTGATGTTCACATTTACCTGATTTAAAATTTTGCTCGTTGTGATTCCTTTCAGGTGATTTAAATGTCATACATTGCTATTCTTATTTACGAGACTTAAAAATCCAATAGCGCAATTTCTATTTCGCATTTTTGAAACCCTATGAAGCGATTCATATTCATGAGAATTTAAAATCCAATGTCGGGATTTGTTTATGCGGTTGTAATATCAAACTTCGATTTTCGTATTTATAAGTGATTTTAAAAGTAGACATTGTGGGATTTGTATTCACGCGATTTAAAAATTATGCATCATGGTTCATATTCACACGATTTAAAAGTTATGCAGCGTGATTCGTATCGTATTTAAGCTCTCAAAAAATTACGCATCATGATTTATATTTTCGGATTTTTGAAATCCAATATAGAGTTTCATATTCATGTGATTTAAAAGCCACGTATCGGGATTCATATTCTCTCAATTTAAAATCAAATATTGCGATAATTATTCACACAATTTTAATATGCATATGATTTATATTCATACAATTTTAAAATTAATCATCGGGATTTATAATCACATGGTTTAAAAATCGCACTTTTTTGTCAAATTTTTGGATATCATAGCTTCTACATATTATATATTTTGGATTTCCTCTTTTTTTACTTTCGGACTACTCTCATCCCCGTGAAACAGATTCAGATAATTAAAGTTCGACTGCACCTGTAAAAAATTATTGTGTATACTTTAGTTTCTTTGATTTTTTTTTAAGTTTGTTATTATAATCTTTAATTAATTTAAGAAATTCTTGATAAAAAATGCATTCTATTATTAAGAAATTTTAAGTGAAAAAATCTTTAAAAAAGAACTTAACTTTAAAAAACAAATTAACTTATACTTTCACTTTGTTACTGTTGCAATTTTAATTTATAAAATATGTTACTCTATAAAAAATTTCTTTTTGGTATCTATTCAAACTGGTTGAGATGAGATTTTTATTTAACTAGAATTGTAAAGTGTTGTCAGAACAGAATGTACTTAAACGGAAATTAAGTCTGAACTAAAATTAGAAATTCTACCACTGAACGGGGACAATCTTCATCCATAATTTTTTAAAGCTTAAACTTTGACTGATACATAGAACTTAGTCCTCCCCCTAAGAAAATATTCAATGCATGTCAATTTTAATTGTTATCAAATCTTAAATGCTTAGTTATGCTTTGAGTGAAAAGCATGGAAAGTATCTCAAATTAAAAATATTTTTAAGATAAAAGACTGGGTTGGCTGTTCAATGCCAATTCAAAAATATGTTAAAATATAAAAGACTCAACTTATTCAATGATTGTATGAATTTCTTTTGATCACAAAGATTCTTAACTATTTATATATGTCTTTTCAGGTAACAATTTTATTCAATAACAAACTGTTTAGAGGAAACAGAACAAGTAAAATTAGTACATCTAGTCTTGATGCCTTTAGTTCTCCTAATTTACCTCCTCTTGCCAAAATGGGAATTGGAATTCATGGTATATATCATTATAATTTTTTATGTTTGCTAAACTATTTCTATTAATACTAAACTATAAGAAATTTTTCTAATTTCTGTAAAAATTGTCTTATCAGTTATCAGTGTTAAATTTTATGCTGTGAATTACAATGATGATACTAAAAGTTATTATTGCCATTTTCATTACATTTTTGTGTGAAAATACTTCTGTTTTTATAAATGTATAAAGATGTTATAAAGTTCCTTTTAGTTTTTGAAAATGTGTTGTTGATGTTAAAATTATTAACAAAAATTACAAACTTCTTTTTAGGCATCATAATATATAAAAACACTAAAAATGTAGGTTTTGAATTTGGCAAAGAAATTATTTTCCATCTTCAGAACATTCTAAAATACTTTAAAATGGTTTAAATGAGATTAGGTTTCAACTACAGTTCAAATTGCGTTCTTGGCATTTATGAAAATGAAAAATTTTAGTTCAAAAATTGAAAAGTTCTTTAAGAGATGGCTCTATGACACAAGTGGTAATTATTTGCATACATAGAAAATGTGAAACTTCATATGTGTAACAGTGCATACATAATAGGAATAAATTGGTTCAAGTTAAGAAATAAATCGATAAAAAAAACATTAAGTGTATAGGACTCTTTTTTTCCTTTGAGGCATTGAAAAATTCAGAAATTTGAAGTTTAAGTTAACAAGGTTTGACTGTATATATACAAGTGATTCTAATAGGCTTTGGAAACTAAGAGTCTTTAGAACTTGTGTCTTCCATATTTCTGGTCCTTTTTTACTAAATTGGGGTTCCTATTTATAATAATGTAAATCAACACATTAAATATATATCTAAAAAGTAAATATTTTATGATTAGGAAAAGAAGTAGTAATGTAACAAAGTAAAAAATATTGTAACATTATTTCATCAAAAATTTAATAATATTATTTTTGCCCTCACTTTAATTTTAAATTTTCTAGAACAAATCGTACTGTAAAAAATTCGAAAAGTTAAAAATCGTGTAATGTAATATACAGGATGCATAGCGTTTTTAAAAAGTGCTTAAAGGTGATTATTTCAAATTTCCTTTTTATAGGCCCTTAAAGGTGCTTTTAAAAAGTGCTTAATTTTCCCTTTTCCAAAGTAACATATTTCTTCTTTACCATGTCAATTTTAGCCACAAATTATGTGAAACGTGTGGTTTTCACATTGCTCTATTCAACGTTTTTACAATTCATTCACCCACAATTAATTACGGCATACCGTCGGTCCGTAGCATATGAAAGTACCAATCATTTTATGATGTTTGATGAAATACTTGAGGATTTGCATGTGTGTTATACTGACCTGGATTCAGTAGGAAGGATTCTTGCACTCTCGTGTGCAACTCTGCTGAATTTTGCAAGAGACTCTTAGTTTCAGGTTTTATTTTCTGCCCTCTGAAATCAAACTGCAAAATCTCTCGGGGACCAACTAAACATTGCCAGTTTTATTCCCTATTAGAAAACGAAAATATTATTTTCCTTCTTAATGTCATCATTAGTGAAGTGCCATTGTATTCATCATTGGCAAGCTAATGGCCTTCTCATGCTCTTCTAATTATTGATCAGTACTGTATTCCTTTAACTTAACTTGGGGATTATTCACCAATTACGTATTTTCATGTGGGTCCTCAGATCAGTTAAGAATTCGAAAGCTTCATTCCCTCAAAATTTCCACCCCCTTTTATTTAATAAACATAGGAATTAATTGCAATTTTTAATAGTATGAATTCTCACCTGAGGGACTGTCCACTAATTGCATAAAAAATGTATACTTTTGTTGTACTTTATTATTTTTTCTTACTTATTATAGTTACTTTTAAAATCTCTTAATTTGTTTTATGAAAAAGCTTGACAATATTTAGATGCAAGATTTTAAAAAAGTATGAAGTAAAGAGCTTTCACTATTTTAAGTTAAAAAAAAATCTTATGTTATTTAGATTTGTCATTCCGAAAATATTTAATGATTTGATTTAAAAACAATTGAAATAAAACTTCAATTATCTCAGATTTGTTAAATAATATGAGTGTAGGAACCATATAATAATTTACCTCTAACAAAAATGTTTAGCTTCAATACTCATTGTACTTACATTTCAAAATCATTTGAATTTTTCTTATTATTTTATTAAAGAAATAATGAACCAAGTAACAAATGTTAACACAAATTTAATAGGGCCATTCAGTATGATTAATATTAATCTTGTTAATGTTTTATTGAATGTGCTTTTATAAATAACCTTTATTTAAATCTAAAAAATACATCCGATAACCAATTTAAATAATAGTTCAATTAATTATAATTTTGAAATTTTTTTTTGTATAATTAAATAAAATTATTGTGAATTTAAAAAATAAAATGAGCCACTCAATATTGAATATAGAGTCTGACCTCTATTTAACGAAGTCTCTAAATCGTGATAAAAAGTTCGTTATATGGAAAATTCATTAAATAGAAAATCTCCAGTTGAAATACTTAAACAACACGAAACAGATTTAAAATTCTTTAACACTAGAGATAATTAAAATAGCAATTGATACACCTTTATTTTGTAAATTATTATCTATTATCCAATTGTTTCAAATGATTTTAACATTTTATCATATGAAGGTTTGGTGATTTCTTCATCATTTCCATCTTCATCTTCATCACAATTTATTCCTTACTGTTTTTATTTTCAACACTGTCCAAAATATCTGATTCGGTTAATGTTTCTGTGTTTTCAGCTTCAGAATCAATAAAAAGACAATCATTAATCAGTACATCATCATTAATTTCGTGGTTCTCTCTTAGCTGTACCCAATTTTTTTTTAAATTTTTCTGAAAGAATATCAACCTCCTTCTCCACACTTTCTAAATTTTTTGTACTGACTAAGAATTTAGACTGACTTATGAACTAGACTGACTTATGAACTAGACTGACACTGACTATGAATCCAGCTTCAGCAAAACTGTTATGAATAGTATAATCTGTAACATCATAGTTCCATGCTTTAGAAATTTCTGTTATGCTTTCTTGTAAATTGACTTTTGACTTGGATTCCTGTATGATATGCAAACAAAAAGCGAAAGGGATTTTACCGCTTTCTCTCAAAGTTAAGCAGCTGCGAAAATCAATTAAGGTATCATTTCCCTCGTAGAATGCGTTAACAAGTTTGAAATGTTTTGGGAAATAAGGAAAGTGTATCTTAAAAAAAGGTTCGTTAAATAGAAAATTCACTTCACCATTTGGTAGTCATTTTACGAAGAAATTTTCAAAATGTTCTTGGTTCCTTGAAAAAAATCGCAAAATGCAAGTTCGTTAAATGGAAGTATTTAAAATTCTGCATAAATTGTTTTTATGGTGATTAATATAATCAAGAAAAAGAGTTCTTTGTCAGAAACTAGTTCTTTTATCATGATCATTAAAAGTATTTTGCATTTTGTTAATGTGTATATGAAGAATTTTCAACAAGAGGAAGAAAAAACTTTTATTAGTGTGCATATCCTGATTATGATATTTTTTTAAAGTGCTTAAAAATATTTTTTGAGTGCTTAAAAGGTGTTTTTTTGTTGTTGAAAAGTTTAGCTATGCACTCTGATACAGTGTTTACAATTTTACTATAGCAGCCACTACATCAATATTAAAATGCTTAAAAGCATAAGAACTTTTTTAATTAAAATCCTTTTTTTTTGCTAATTAATGTGGAAATATCCAGGATGCGTTAAAAAATCTTGTGCAACTGAATGTTTAAAAAAAAAAAGATATTTGTTTCCCAATTAAGTTTTTTTTATGAAGTCCTTCATTTTAGCATTTTTTTATATTTTTTCTAGTTTAATTTATACTCTTACATTCTTAACTTTATATTTATTTTCAGTCTATTTCAAAATTTCATCATAGGACAATTTTTTTTACCATTTGTGTATGCATGTATAAGTACATTTCTGTGTGTATGCAAATATGTATACACGCATGTCATATAATGACTATTTTAATATACTTTTGTTATGCATTACCTTCTCTTACAGTGGAATGGAGAAATATTTTCCGCCCATCAAGTATTGAAAAGTTCAGTGTGCACAATGTATTAAATCGAAATGTTGGATTGTTGAGATTATTTCCTAGCATAACTGTTGAAGTGGTTTGTAACTAGTATATTTTTTATGAATTTGTATTTATATCCATATTGCCTGTGATTTTTCATTTTACTGTTCTTTATACTTTTTAGAAACTTATTTTAAAACATATTTGATGGTGTACGATTTTATTTTATAGATTTTATTCCATTACTTCCATCAAAGTAAAATAAGCTCGAAACCTATTCTATTATAATGTACAGTGTGTAAAATTATTATTTAACAACAATTTAATTCAACCCGAATCTAAACAACAAATTGCCAGTTAAAATTGACTTTCCAAAAGGCAATTCTGAAATTCTTATCTTAAAAACTAATATCATTGTTAAAAAATAGGTAATCCAATCCATTTCAAACATTATTTTTGTTTTTATTTAACAAAAATCAATTTTTATAAGTATACTCATTTGTGAATGATCCCATCTATCTCATTTTTTTATGATCTCTGATAAATTTACAGCAAACTAGAAAAAAGAATAATGAAAATTAATAACCAAATGTAAATTGTTATCCATTGTACTGGACTTTACTTTTAATATACTAATCTTAATTTCTATGTATTTTGATGTAAATATAACTGATCTAAAATCAGCAAAATTCTAAAATATGCAAATAGTCTGATCTAAAGCTATGTAAATTTCTGAGAGTCTACTGTACTGAGATGCAATCCTAATGCATTAAGGGTTAACCTTTACTTATGCTAATTAATTTGTGTGGATGTTTAAGTTACAAAATTGTATTTTACCTTGATAAAAATTTTGTTATTCAAGTAATTGAAATTTTGTCCCTCAAAATATCAAGTTTACCTTCAATTTGGAAAATATGATCCCTGTTGTATAGTGAGAAAAGCAGTCAAAATTTTGAACCCCTTAATTGTAATTTTTTTTTGGATATTTCACCATATAATTTAAGCTAATAAAAAAAAAATTGCACACAATCTGTGTAACTTTTCTAAAATATTTTAATTTAAAAAAATTTAAATTCATTATTTTTTTAGTATTTTGTTTAATAATGATTGAATTGTAAGGGATATCACTTAAAAATATTTTTTGATGAAATTCAAAGTTTGAATAAAATTGGTTGTCAAGCTTACTGAGTAATAAAAATTATATATGTTGGATTTTTAATATTTGGAAAACTGTTTTTAAAATTCTATTCAAACGTTAAACTTTTTTTTATTTAAAATGAGAAAATTTGTTTTCGAAATTTTTATTTTTTTCTGTTATTATTAAACTTCGTATTTTAAAATTGTAAAATAATCTTTACATGGAATTTTTTAATAAACATGCTTAAAAGTTGTGTGTAATTTTTTTAAAATTATTTAAATAATTGCAGAGACATGTCCATGCATGCAAAGATTAGTATTAAGTGCCTTAAACTTTCAACTCGTTTTTCTGACTGCATTAGTGAAACTATATTTTCAAGAATACAGCTTACAACCTATTTTTTGATCGTGAAAATTTTGAATTAGTTGGAAAAAACATTATGATCAGACAAAGAAAGTAGGTTTTCATGTCTATTTAATATTGCATGTTAGTATATGAAGCTCTGATCATTACGGCAAAAGTATTCAACTGTTTGTTTTCTTTTTCACACTGTACATATGGAACCAAAATTTAGTTTTTGTCTTGTTATGTGTAATGTGTAAAACTAAATAACAAAGTGTTTAGTTTAAAGCAGAACATTGGCATAGAAATGTTGCTAAGACCTTACGAAAGGACATTGAAACACTTATCTGAAAGGCATTACAGTAGAGCGCCAATTATCCGAACGTCCAATTATCCGAACTATGTCTAAATTCTTTTTTTTTTTTTTTTTTAAAGTTTAAAATATTTTTTAAGATCTTGACAATTTTTCTAAATTAATTAGAATAAATAATATCCCCTACATCCGAATAACATATTTAATTTACAACCTTTTTAGCAGTTTTCTTATAGCAGCCATACATACATGTATGGTGATACAGTTAAACCTACCTACCCCTTTACAACTGAAAATTATCTTCCAAGAATGCGAGCTTCATTTTGATAGTCTACAATGGTTGGAATGCAGAAGGAGTTTATGAATAGATAAGTGCTGAAGTTTTGTCACTTATGTTTAATGATTAGTGATTACAGTGCTTGGAATAATAAATCTTGGAATAAAATTCTTAACAGAAAAACTGAAGTTTCTGAACCAGTCGATCTTTCGGATGACAATGATGAAATAGTTGATTTTTAATGAAAATCGGAACTCCACAGACGAAGATGAAGAAGTAAGTGATCAAGTTCAAGATAGAAGCATGCGATTCATTAGATATTGCAATGAATTGGCTAGAACGTCAAAATGATGTTGATCCAGTTCAATTTTTTTTATTTAAAAAGAATAAGGGATATATGGCTTCTAAAAAAAAAAACGCATCTTCTTTGAAACGAAATCTTTGCTGGATTTCTTTTTCAATGAAAAATATGGTAAAATCAGTAATTGACAAAAAAATTATAAAAAACTGAAAAAGTTTTAAAAAAAGTTAATAAAAAATATTTAAAAATTAAAGAAAAAAAAACTTTTAAACACGCCAAAGCTATTTTAGATAATACTACCAGTCCTAAGCCTACAAAAGGTGCGAAGGGAAGTTTGTGCATAAATAATAATCATGTACACTAGATTTTAAACAGTTTTCCAATTATCCGAACTTTTCATTATCCGAACCATGTTCGGTCCCGAGCAGTTCGGATAATTGGCGCTCTACTGTAATTACAAATTAATTTTTAAAAAAACATGAAAACTTGACTAGCATTTCTACTATATAATGAGAATATCCACTTGATGAATTTGAAAATTTACAAGGAATCTAATAAGACAGATTTTTAGTTTTTGTAACCTTATGTTTCTCGCAATGTTTATTATTGGAAATATAAGATTGTGAGATATTAAAAATTATTGTTGTATAACAATAAAATTTTTGTATTGTTGAAAGAATCTAAGAACACAGATTTTTATTTTTTATGGAATGCTATCTTATGTTTGATGTAATGTTTGTTATTGGAAATATAAAATTGTAAGATATTAAAAAAAAATTCTTGCATAACAATGGAAAATATTTTAACAAATGCATTCTTTTGTATTCAAAGATACTTAATTAATTTCTGTTTACAAAACTATTAACTGTTCCATTTTTAATTTTGTGAAAAACCTCCAAAAACGTATTACTAATTATAATAATCTTAATTTTTTTAACCTTCCAAGAGACTTGTGGACAAAATTGTACCAGGCTATGTCACACTTTAATTTTCTATTGAATAGCATGACAAATGCCAGTGTATGGGTTCATTAAAACCCCTACCTTAAAAGTGGAAAAAAAGCTGGAAGTAACATTCAAAGGATTTTTCAGATACACACACAAAAGATGAAATTTAAAATGGCAGTATAATAAATAAATGATTTTAATGGAAATATAACTAAGTGTAAGTAATCAAGAAGAGTATAATTTGCATGAAAAGTATTGCACAAAGAATCTAAGGTACTAATATCTTAATTTATATTTACTGGAACTATTATTAACCTGTGTTTTAAATTTAGTAGCTGCATTTTATATTTTGTGCTGATAAATATATTTTTTATTGCTGTATTTTGCTTTATTAAAAATGCTATGCTTTGGCTTTTAAATTTTAAAGCTTCAAATTACTTTTTCATTATCTTAGGTTAGGGCATTTTTAAGTCCACCTATAGAAGGAGTTGTGTTGCAGACTTATGGTGCTGGAAATGGTCCCTCACAAAGGAAGGACCTTTTTGATGAACTAAAACGGGCTCATAGAAGAGGTGTGATTATTGTTAATTGTACTCAATGTTCATTAGGTCAAGTGGATCCATCATATGAAACTGGAAGTGTGTGTATTGTTATGTTTTAATGAAAGAGTTCTCTTTTTGCCTCTTACTGCTTTTGTTATTTCTTAAAAATTTGCTATTCAGATATGATTTAAATTTCATTACTATGTTTGAGCTTGCTTATCTTTTTTTTTCTCTTTTGTGATTTTTAACTAGCTGTGCTTAACTAGCTTTCCTACTCTTTGTCTTGACAAAATCAATATTCTGTTATTATTGAAACTATTTTTAGACTTTCCATCTTTTAAAGAAAATGAATAAAACAGTGGCTGGTTAATCTAAAGATAAGTGCATGATTAAAAACCCTTAAATGTTTTTAATTAATAAACTCTACATGATTAAAGCAAATGATTAGGAAAGAATTTATTTTTCTTCATAAACTTAATATTTGTAAACTTTTTAATAAAGAAAATATAAGTTTAAAAAAATTACTTACACATGGAATTGCAAGTTTTCTTCTAAGTATTTGGGATGCAAAATGTTAATAACTTCAACTGAAAAAAAAAACTTAATTTGTATACTTCACCATTTCTTGTCGACATGTTTTGTAATTTCTAATAACTAAATCTTTTTATAATTTTCTTTTCCTGCATGTGTAGAATATATTCAGAAATTAAAAAGAACTCTTGTATTTTTGAAAGTTATTATGTAATTTAGCCCTAATTAATCAGTGTTATTCTGACAAAAAGCATTAAATTTATCAACTATGAATTGAAAACATATAAATAGTTTATTTTTGTTTTTTGAACTTTTTATGTGTTTTAATAGAAAAGGGAATTGCTTTGTGATTTTTAGATGTATCAATAATTTGTTACCCTTATTTTTACAGTTGTACCCATATTTTACTATTATTTAGATAGTCAAAAAATTAATAAGATTAAATACGCTTTTAGTTGTGTTTTTATGGAATCTTTAGCATTAAAAATGATTTCATTATTTCTATAAAATCAATGTTATTGTACTCTTAGCATTTTTTGCTGAAAATCATAGAAAAGTAACACCAATGCATTATTTTTAGCTCATTGACTTTCTGAATTCAGATTCTCAGTAAGTTATGTTATGAATGCCTATGGGAACATCTTAAATTCCAAATTAATTGGGTCGAAATTATTTTCGAATAAATCAGACTTTTCTTTATTTTTTAAGGCTGTCAGTTATTCTTATTATAAGTTTTTTTTTTTAGTTTTTATAAGTCATGGCTTTTTTTGACAATTTTTAAGTTTTAGTAATAAGTTTGAATTACTTTTAATTAATACAAACTGTAATAAACTATGCATTAAGAGAAAGCTATGCACTAGAGAAAAAGTTTTTTTCTGTAATAAATGCTTTTTAATCCTTATTAGCAAAACCTATGTATTCTGAAATATCTTTAAATTTATTCATTTTTAGCTGAAAATTGAAAACCCAGAACACTTTTACTTTCATTACATTTTATGTTCTTTAAATTCTCATGAATCTCTGGATAGTTTTCTCAATTGTATTTCAAACTTTAACATTTATTAAACATCAGAATGTATTTTTGAAAATGTGTTTAAACTTAAGTACATGTCAAAGGCTCAAATAAAAAAATATTTTGTAACTCAATTCCACACATTTCACCACTTTTTTTAATGTCTTTTGAAATCATAAAAATTAGTTTATAAAAATGTTGCATTAAGCGAAAAATTAATGATTAATAGTTGATATTTCAGTATAGGATATATAAGTGATCAAGACCTGAAAATATTATATAGATTTCTCAACTACTCTTAATTTTTAAATTGGTGAAAATTGGATATTTTCAAACTTTTATGTGTATTTGTGGAGCAAAGACTTAAGTATATATGATGCAAATATTTAAAATCGGAAGTTAAATTAATTTATGAAGGGAATTTATGAATTTTTTATTGTTTAACTTCTAAATTTATTTCAATAGCAGTAATGTAACAATTTCCATTTTTGAATTCTTATAGGCTATTTCTTTTTCAAAGGGTAAGTGTTTTGTTTTGTTTCTGTATAGATCTTGTGCTGGTTTTTATATATACGATCCATTAGACATTGAGGTTTATGGTTTATTTTGTTTCCCAAAATTCTTCTTTATAATATTTAATTATCTTCTTTTTTGCATTGAACAAAGAATTTGATGATTTTTTATTCAATGCAAGAGGCAATATATCTTAATTCCTTATTCGTTTGAAGTAAAACTTAATAAATGATTTCATTGGAGATGCACCAAGTCCTAAAATTTTGCCGAGTCTGGGTATCTAGTACTCAGTGAAAATTAAATCTTTTTTATCCAGCTGGTTCCAAGTATTATACCAACTTTGCAAAACAGTGTAAAAATTGTATGATTTTCTTCCTAACAAATGTTTGACAAGATATAGTTTTAAGGAATTTTTATTACAAGCCTAAAACAGATAAGTTTTTTTATATTTAGATATATTTTAAATTATGTTTAAAAGAATTGTTTCTAAAAAATTATGGGAATAATAGTTGGATGTAAAATGATTTACACAAAACTTTGCTATAGAGATATTTGCTAGTAGTGGACTTTATTATTTACAAATTTTTTACCTGTTTTATTTAGTTTCAATACCATATATTATTATAGCTTCTGTTAAATGTAGGGTATTTTAACAATGTAGCATATTTCAAAAGTTTTTTTAAAATTTTATTTATTAGGATTTTATAAACTTAAAATAAGTTTTTATGTAATATCCTGTTTTTAATTTTATATTTGTTTAGCTACATTACTTTAGTAAAAATAGCTCACAACATTAGATTTTTGAAATAGCATTTCCTCCTAAGTGGATATCGTGTCCATGTAACCAAAATAAACTTTTGGCACCAAATTAAACTATTCTACTTTTGCATTGATTTAAATCAAAAATATATCATGCCCAAACCAGTAATTTCATGTTAAGATTATTAAGAAACTGGTGGAATATATATATAGGTTTAAAAAATCTATTATGTATGTAAACAATATTGTGGTTATTCTAAATCTGAATATAGCTGGGGTGTCTATCTTAAATGAGTATTACCTGACAGTAGATATAATATAAAATTTGCCGGTTACGGATACCAGGTACTGGAATTCATTTTCTGGCTCCAGGTAAAGTCAGAATACCAAGATATTGCCAGGTACCCCATACATCCTTAATAATTATATTTAATTTTTTCAATATAAATATGTGTATAGATCTTACATGAGAAAATATGTGTATAAATCTTTTAAAATAAAGTTAGTTCATATTTTAAAATATTGGTAGCTAATTACACAACATAAAAGAAATGAACATGTATATAAAATTTAATAATCTGCTTAAAGCATGATATAGTGTTAATAAATTCTTAATATTAAAATATATTTAGTCAATGGTTGTTGAGAACTGTCTCTTTTTCTAAATTTAGTTAAAATAATTTGTTTTCTGAATAAATTAAAGCAATTATCAATCATATGCAGCAATCTAAAACAATTTTTTTAAATATGCATTTTAGTTTCTTACTTTTTACTAGAAAGATTTTATTTTTAAGTTTGCAAGTTGAGTATGTACTTACAATTTAAAATCTAAAAACCTAACATTAAGTTTTTAGCCTATCAATGCTAGTTTTACATTGAGAGAAAAAATATCCTGAATAACTTTTGTAATTATCAGATTTTTGTACACTAATCGACAAGTTTAATGCTTTAACGGGTTGACTTTAAATATATTATTTAATTAGTGTTAACTATTAAGTTCTGTAATTAGGCATAAAAAATATTTTTTTTCTCAATAAGCTTACTTTTTTTCAATGGATTTAATTTTATAACCAACAAAATATGGGGAGCAGCCACAATTGTAATATGGAAAAAATGGTCCTAATAGTTTAATCAGGAGAGCGGTTGAATGTTAGGGCCCCTTAATGTTAATTTTGCATTTTGGATATTTTGCCTGGTCTCCAGAACTTTTAAGCTATTCAAAAACATTTTACCCACCATTATAAAATTTGTTTCCATGGATAATTTCTTGTAAAATAGAGAGTTTAATAATTAATAATTATTTCATTTAATAATGGTTGAAAATATTTTGAGTTGTAAGGTTTGCAAATTTTCACACCATAAAGACACATTATACCTGATAAGATAATTTACTATTCATTTTTTTTTACTATTATTAGGGAAAATAACAATAAATAATCATTAAAAATTATTTTTACGAAAGTTTGTTTTTGGATTTGGAATTTTATATTTGTGTGCAAAAAGTGATCAATTCACTGTAAAAGTTCCACAGGTATGGTGAAATGTCAAAAGCGTGAAACTAGTAGTAAAAGCCAGAAACTTTTGTCCATCTTCTTCTTCAGCACGACAGCCCCTTACAGGCCTTGGCTACCTCAACCGCGCGTAGCCTCCAACGCCTCCTATCCATGGCGACTTTTTTCCAGTTGCTAATCTTTATTACCTTGAGATCTTTAGTAGTGTCATCCAGCCATCTAGTTGGAGGTCTTCCTCTGGCCCGAGATCCAGAAGGACTTTTAAAGGTGGCGATTCGTACTGCATTGTTTTCTGGACCTCTCCAGATATGGCCAAGCCATCTTAATCAATTCCTTCGGATGACCTGCCCTATTTGTGGCTGTACATAGAGTCTATATAATTCAAAGTTGTATCTGATTTGCCAACAGTCTCTTTCCTGTACTGGGCCAAAAATATTTCTAAGGATTTTCCTTTCTAAAAAACCAAGAGTACGCTGAGTGTCTGCGTTTAGTGTCCATGTTTCACTTGCATAGAGCAATACAGATAGAGTAAGAGTCTTATAAATTTTAATTTTGGTTTTTCGACTGATTAGGCTTGATCTTAATTGCTTTCTTAGTCCAAAGAAACACTTGTTTGCCATTTTACACTTATGTCAACTCTGCCAAATTTTACTGATTGTGGCGTAACCAAAAATTCAAATCTAGTGAGAAATAGAAATGCAGTGAAACCTCATGTTACAGTCACTCCTACAAAATGGATTACTTTAAATTCTTACAAAAAAAATGCAATGTTAATTGTTTGCCTCATCCACCACTAAAAATATTGTTAAGTTATTTCACTACTAAAGAATCGATCATTCTCCTCTCGCCTTCCTTTATCTTTGCAAAGAAAGAAGAGAAAATGATACTGCTCATGTGAACAGCAGTATTTTTTGATCTTTTCATCTTGTCAGTACTGATTATGAGACCTTACTAGCTGAAATGATGCCTTAAATGCTCTCAATCCCTCTTCCCCACTGAGAATTCCTTTCTACTTCTAATCAATTTGGAGACTGTTTAACACAGCTGGGTAAAAGAAGAAAGAGAGCAAAAATCCAGTCATTGAAGTGTTCATATACATGAAACATTTATTCAGACATTTGACTAATGATCCATTGTGAACATAACTTGGGGTCCTACCTTACAGTTATGCATTGCTGCTTTATTTTATCTGTGCATCCTGGGAGGTTTACCTTCAAGGAGATATTGTCCCATTTCCAATGAAGTGATGGGGAGTGTAAACCTATTAATTAAACTGATTGAGCAAGTGACATAGGACTAAAAGCTCCTATTTGGTATCATATGACTTAAATTGTTAGTCTGTGTAAATAAGAAAAAAAAAAATTTCTCTGTAGCTACATCTAGAATTATGTATATATGTCCAACTTTTTCATATATTCTTTTTGTATTGAAAAAAGTATTTTTTAAACTTTAAATAAATATCATTGTGAATAGTTATTATAGATTCTTTCTATATCATTGCAATTATTCTTAAAATAGTTTACGACATTAAACTTCTTTATTAGTGTACTCTTCCCATAAACTCTCGTAAGCATACAATTTTACGGCCTGTGTTCATTTAACCAAGTTTTCACTGTATATGTTTCTTTAGAAAAAGTGTGTATTTGTGTCTGATTTTGTAACTTAATTAATAGTTAGCCATAATTAATTTCAGAATATTGAGGAAGTATATTGGTATTTAGTTTGTTAAAATTCAATCATTTGGACAAAAATCATTAGGAATTATAATATTTTTGGTTTTTTTGTGCAATTTTATTGTTTACAATAAGCTACAAAATATTTTAATACATGGGTAATTTATAATAGTTTGTACTGATTATATACCTTCATACCTAGGCATTTGTTGACGTAGGAGTCGTTCCAGGGTCCGATATGACTCCAGAAGCAGCATTGACAAAACTTAGTTATGTTTTGAGTAAAAAAGAGTGGTCAATTCAAACTAAGCGTAATGTAAGTGCACTTTACTTATAAAAAAATTTTTAAACAATTATATGTATTATTCAACACATAATCTGTTTTTAAAAATTAATTTATTTATAGACATAATACTTGATAAACCTATTTTATAATTAAATTCCTACTTGATAATGTAAAATTAAGATGTCTAGAACTTAATTTAAGAACTGAGTAGAGAAGGATGGTTTTTATTGACATATCTAAAAAAAAAATTTTCTCACAGGAAGATCCATCATATTTAAGTTTTATTCAACTATACAACACTTATTTGTTTTGCCGAGTCTTTAAATTTAGATGTCAGTGAATGAAGGTTCAAAATGCATGATTGCAGGGATGCTACGCCTGCGCCATTTGCGATAAACTGAGACAAAACGGCATAACTGCGCCATTTTGCGACATTCAGCTCAGTTTCTGCCAAAGCTGCGCCTTTCTGAGACAAAACGTCCAAAATTTGGCAAACCTGAATTCAGTTTCAAATATTAATCCGCATTGCCGTGAGTCATTGGAGATCATTTTGCCGTTCACGTCTCCACGGGATGAAAGACTTCCACGAAAAAGCGGAAATCCGCTTTTTTCTCCCAATTTTTAAAATTTTCGACCATGTTCCAAAAACTAAAATTTTTAGGGAGTCCAATTAGAGAAACCCAAGCCGCCGGAACGATAGTCCCGCGACTTCCGCTATAGAGTGGAAAGGAGTCTAAGTGTTTCGTTTCGACCACCGATATTTGTTTTTTTTTTTTTCGTTTGGCTGATTTTCGGAATTTTAAATATTAGGAACTGCGCAGGAATATGCTAAAATCGCGATTTTTAATCAGACGATTTTAATATCAATCATCGATTTTCGTATTTAACTTATTTAAAACTTATGTGTTGCGACTTTTTTTACGCTGTTTAAAAATCGTACTAGCAATTCCTATTCACTCAATTTAAAAATTCAATATCGCGATCTGTATTCTCGCGAGTTTAAAATCCAACGTCGCGATTCGTATTCACGCATTTTTAAATCCAATATTGCGATTCGTTATCACGCAGTTGTAATATCAGATCTCGTTTTTCGTATTTGTACGCTATTTAAAAATTACTCATTGCGATTCGTATTCACGTGATCTAAAAATTATTCATCGTGATTCTTATTTACGCAATTTAAAAATTCAATATCGCTA